GGAAAGTTTTAAAATACCAAAAATATCCTTGCATTAATATTTTAATTCAAAATTGCCAAAATTATAAATTTTCTAATTTATTTATTGATTTGTGGTTAATATTAGTTCTCACAGTTACCACAAACTAATTAGTTCTCATTTGATTAGGCCCCTATATATATATATAGGGTCAGGTTCAAATGTTAACCAAAGTTTTTGTGTTAACTTTGTTAACCGATCTTGACCGTTGAATCTTTCAATAAACAGTTGTGATTAGTTATGATTAAAACTTTTTTTTTAAATTTAAAAGTTCATAAAAGATAAGTGAACAAAATTGAAAAGGGTATTTAAGTAATTTTCATTTTTATGTAACTCCCATATCATTAATTGGGAGTTACAAAATTAAAAAATCCCATTATTTTTGTTAATTTATCTTTGTTAATGTAAAAACCATATGAACATAACTATATATATATGAACTATTGTATCAAATACGAACAAAAAATTGACATATATATGAACTTGGACTGCATAGCGTTTATGATCACAATATGAGCATAATAAGAATAACTACTACACGAAAAGAAATAAATAAAAAAACAAGTATGAACACAATATGAACAGCTTGTGAACAATAGTTTCTTCATTATAAAAACATTTAGGAGTGATCATTTGTCAAATGGAGTTTTATACATGCATTGCATCCACACCGTTTAAGGTTCATATTACGGTATCTTATCTCGCCGGATTGAAGAGCCATAGAATAAAAATACTTTTTATTTGGTATTCCCTCCCTACTACATACAAATCATCTTATTTGTATGTCTCCGTTCTTGTTTTTTTTTTTTTTTGGCATGAAGACGAACATCAGACCCAACATTGTCCGCGTACGTCCTGTATATCTTTTCCGCTTCATTTATAGATACGAATTATGCATTGATCTTTGGTTTAAGCTCGTCATCAACATTGGGGGATAAAATACTTGCTTCCATTTGAACACTCTCCGACATCGTACTCCGTTTCATATTCGAAGGGTATAAGTATGTGAACACCTGTTGATACCATAATAGTTAGTAAAATCAATGAACATTAATATTATATAACTGGAGCAATCAACTGCAACAACCAGAAAATAGATTTATTTGGTGTGAGTTTGAACAATCATTAATGATCATGAGATGATTAATGTGAACATATATGATTATATGAACATGAACATATATGAACAACAGGTGAGATCTATTTGGTTCGAATTCACAAGCTGTTCATAGACTAAGATAATTGACACGAACATATATGAACAAATTGTGTAAAGATTTATGTGGTACGAGTTAAATTAACCATTAATGACCATGAGATGAGTAATGTGAACATATATGAACATGAACACATAACCACTATGCTATGAACACGTGGTGCAATTAAAGAAAAAAGCTATCAAGACAAGATGAATTACAAAAAACACAACACATCATAACGAACATAATTTCGATTAGAACGAGTCTAATAAAAATATTAATCTATTACCAAGACATTCACTTTTGTTAATTTCTTCACTTTCCGAACTCGAACTCCGATTATCATCATAAACCATTTTAATCTTCCCACTGTTGTCGATTTCTTTTTCATTGCGTTTATCCATATTAGCTTGAGCGATACCGAAGATTTTACTACCGTGTTTCCTATACGAATGAAAAACTCATAAAACAATGAACATGTAAGATCAAGATTAAAAAAAATAAAAATATTAATATTATAAATGCATATTTTTTGGGATTTTATGATTTGTAACTCCCCATTAATTGTTTGGGAGTTACATAGCAAACCAATTTACTGAATTACCCTTGTAGTTAAATTGTGAACATGATAGAAACCTACTAGAAGAATGAAATTTGATTAGTTGACATGGTTTGCAAAGTTAACACAAAATTGTTGGTTAACATTTGATCTTCTCCCCTCTCTCTCTCTCTCTCTATATATATATATATATATATATATATAAGTTTTATTTTACATACTTGTGTATTTTGTATTAAATCCAAATTTTACAAAAAAAATGGAAAGAAATAAAAGTTGCAATACACTAATTCACTCATATTTGTCTTCCAATACCTTCAAATAGTTGTTTAGATAATATATCCATATCTATTTTTACCTTTTTAACGATGTTATAAGTGAGTCACAAGTTAAATGTTTCATTCATGTCTTTGGGATAAGTTTGACTTCCATTTCAAAAAAATTCTTTATGTAAGACAGTAAAGCGACAAACTGAAATATCAAGATAGGTGGTCTAAAATCATGTTATGATGGTGTACACGATCAAATGTTTTTTGTTCTTGGCCTCAAATACAACATTCGCTAACCTTCTCCCATCATGTTCTCCTTAATCTTAAAATCCTTAGAGCACTTTGTTAACAACTATGCATATATACATGTATACATACTTAATACATTCATACACACATTCATGCATTGTATACATACATGCGTACATCTATGCATGCATGCATACATACATGCGTACATGTATGCATGCATGTACATGCATACATGCATGCATCTTGTGAGTATCATAAGATATTGATGTTAGAAATGTTTGAATGATTTTAATATAAGTGATTAGAGATATGATTGTGCTTATCTTAATGAAATTGCATAGAATCATGACCAATCATGCATCCCTTGACGAAATAGATGGATTTGAATAACTTCACCGACATAAGGTAATATATAGTTATCATAATGAGAACTGCTATGATTGTACACATCTTAATATATTTTTCAAATACCTTCTTTATAAATCGTAAATATATTTTGACATTTAAGGGTCAAATGCATCATGATAAAAATAAATTCATCATTGATCACATACTAAGAGATTACATATAAATTTCTATGAAAGACCATTTTTTCTTTACGACCTACATGTAGTTTGCATATGCTGTAATATTAAGGGGTTGTTTGTTTCTTTTAATACTATTAAGAAGTGTTTGTAACAAGATGACTTAATATGACAACAAATAAATGGTCTTATACAATCCAGTCATTGCTTAAAACTTAATCCCAAAACAAGCATTACTTAGCGGTTTAGCGAGTAAGTCATTAAGCTCGCTAATTAAGTAAAAATCAAACAAACCCTTTTTTTTTATAAATGTTATTTCTATTGTTCAATAAAATGTTATGGAGCCGACCTACACATACATTATGGCACTTTCTAACCCAACCTACATTGCTCGAATGGGATACTGATTGAATTTCCATCTATAGGAACATTCAATCTCAAGAATTCATTTGATTAAGAGGAGATACGAGTTCAACATTTTTTTGCAAGTTTTCGTTAATTGTACATGCATGTTCCTCTGATGTGGACTTACAAAGATAGTAAATACATCATAAGATGTTAAAAATATTCAAATGATTTTACTATAAGTAACTCGGAGATATAATTGCGCTTATATTAATGAAATTGCCCGAAATGATGACCCAATCATTCGACAAATCAAGTGGATTTTGATAATTTGGTCAACATAAAGTCAAACACGATTATTATAATGACAATTACTATCAACCCTCCATCACATCCCACTATAGAAACTACATGTATCATGCTTTTCTTTCTTCTTCTTTTAAATTCAACACCACTACTTACCATTGACTCACAATAATTTTACCTCTTCCATGATAATCGCGAGACCAACATAATAAACGCACCCCAGAGGGTAACAATACCCTTTTTTAAACCTTGACAATTAGATCACCTTGAAAGTGTCGCACTAAAAACTTCTCGTACTTTTAAATGTAAAACACTAAATTCACCTAACAAAATTCTCAATCAGCAAAATAAAAGAGTAAAACTGTTGATAAAGACTATCATCTTCAACCCTAATAAAAAATAACAATAAATATTTAATTATACGATAGTAAATTCATATTAAATAACTCTAGAACACAGATGTTATTTAATATCTAAATCTTACATAATTAAAATAAATTCCTGATTTGAAATAATTTTTTGGGCTTAGTTTAAAACGAAGCCCAAAATAAATAAATGGGTTATTAGTTACGGTAGTAAAACCCGATTCTTAAAAGAAGAGGTTAATTGACCATATATTATGTTTACATGTAGGTATATTTTTATTACTAGGCCGTACGAAATTCAACCCTTTTTCTCTCTCACTTCTTAAGTCGCGTGGGGGTCGAAATACGTCTCTGCCTGCTTATCGACGTGGTGCACAAATCCTGACCAAATCAAGGTATGTGCACTGCGATCTATTGTTACGCTTCGCTTAATTATTGCTTAATTGTAATCAATTTCGGTTTTCTTTTTTCGTGATTTAATTGCGGTTTCATGTAATCGGAATTGATTGTTGCTAAGAACGACGTTTTGATTCTTGTTGTTCTGGCAAGGATGATTACTGTAGCTTCGTTTAGTTTTTGGATTGTTGAATTTTGGAAAAAAAAACAGTCGACGACGATACGCGTCGAGTTTGGGTTTTTGGGGCTTCGAAATTTGGAATTTCTTGTAAATGGGAATCGAAATTTTGGTTTTAATGTATTAATTGTTTTACGTTTTCTTGGCAATTGAAATGCAAATTATGTTTTCTCTGTGCGTTATCGATGTGATGTGGATGGCTGGCTGGCTGGAGATAGTTGAGATACTTATTCGGTAGGGTTTGATGTCAAATGTGAATTCAAAATGTTAACTGATTACAGCTGGTTGATCCCCCAAAAGAGCTCACTTTCATCATTGATGATTTGATGTTAGACTTTGCAAAATTGATTGATATGTTTCTGAACATTCTAATACCAGCATTCTTCTATTTGTAGCAATTGCATTTGAGTTACTCAGGATTTTTAGTCTTCCTGGTGTAGGAGCACAATCTGATTCGTGAGCCATCTTCAAATGTGATTTATGTATAAAAAGTCAAAAAATATGTAGGCATGTATAAGCTCGAAAGCACACACACGGATCCCCAAATAATCTTGGTGAAAATTGGAACAAGCAATTAATTTCAATGATAATTAGAACTAAGTTTATACATTATCCATCATAGGGGATTTTCATGATTGTTACTATGTGGTCATACATATCTTTCATGCTCATTATCATGCAGCTGTATACATTCTTAATCACACTATTGTATGCTGTAGACTTTCTTCCCTCAATAGCCCACATCATTTCTCTTGGACTGTATACTATTCCTTTTCTAGATCAATAAACGATATGTGTGAATTCTTTTGTCAGTTGCTCCCATAAACAAAATGCAGTTGTCTGATAAAGAAAATAGTCTATGTTTTTGATCTCCGAATCCAAACCATATAGATTTTCCGTCATCTAACTCTCAATTCTTAACTTATGCTTAGTGTCCCATGCCACTTGTTTCATTGTATTGTTTACAAGGTTTAATCCTTGGTAATTCATACGATTTGAGCCATACTGTTCTTACTTAATTACCTTTCCGAAGACAATCTAAACCTTTTACGGGTTTCCAATAATACCCTAGAATTTTACCTACTCTCTTTTTCTGTGATGCTCCTTTCTTTTAGTATCAATCATGCCAAGTGTTTTGCATCTCTTTGGGATGATGAGTTATGGATTTCACCCACCACATAAAAAACTGTTATGGAAATGTGATCTATGCAATAGACTCATCTTTAAGTGGCAGTGCTTAGGCTCATAGAAATGCTATTGCTAGCTCTACAAAACTTGGTTGGGATTTTACTATTATTTATGTTCATCGGAAATTGTCATCAGAAAACTATTTTAATGAATTAGATTAGCAGGATAATATAAAGAGAAGAATATTTATAGAACACAATATAGATAATCTAATATTTGATCTTATCACTTCGAGATAATGGCTCTATTCATGGTGCAACTTGATGTGCATAGGTTATAGTCCAACGGAGTGATTATGATTTTACCATTGCCAGAGGTTCTCTTATCGTGTCATTCATAGAAAGTGTTGGTATTTGAATCTTCTATAAGCTTTGTAATTAGAACATCATATTAACATCCTTTTTGCCCTCAATCCTTAACATTATTAGTTTTACATGAAACAGCTCTTGGTAGGTGACCACCTTGGCATCTATCAACAGTCACTCTCTCTCCTAGTTTTGTTTTGGTATCTCCTTATTCCAACACCAAGTATGCTTAGCTGTTTTTTTCATTAGTTTTACTTAAAGATGTGCAATAATTCTTACAAGATAGGCATCTCCTTCCATATACCTCAATTTCGTTAAATTATTTATGCTACAGTGCATTTGTCTTGCCTCGTTTTGCTTTTTAGCACCTAGGGTGTGAATCTAATGTCACATAGCCTCCAAATGCCACTTGAATCACACCTTTGATGCTGCCAACCCATATGGTGTTGCTATGCAGTCCGATATATGACCTACGATGTATACAGAATACGCGATCCTCCCTCTTAATAAGGACAATACAAACTTGTACCATAAAAAAGAAAAAAGATAGGATTGAGTTTTGAAAATTTTGAAGTCATGTACCCCGTATTATGCTTGAGAATGGAAATGACACCAACATCCCAATACCATACTTTACAGCCAATCATTCTAATGGTTGGGTTCTTAAAAACGCAATAAAGATAAGAGATAGTTTAGGGTAGAAACATATGTATCTTGAAAAGGAGGCATCTATATGCATCAACCTGGTAAATGAATGGTAAAAACATACCATGGGAAGGACCACTTTGTAAGGAAATTTAGATTTCACTAGTGTCATTCTCCATCTGTTGTTAAGAGTCGTACTTTGATACTTGAGAGTCAGATGGACTATTTTTCTACCTTAAAGTTATGACTTTATTTACTTTTGTATAAAGGGTTTTTACGACATTAAACTACACAAAAACACTAAGGATTTAAAAGCTAGTGCTAGAAATGTAAAATGGTTCATGCTATTGTGGACTTTGGGATATGCTAGGCTTCACATCCAAAAGTCAATTCATGGAACACTTTAGGCATTGGAGGGGGGGGGGAGGGGGAATGTATGGTCTGCATTGCTGAACTTTTGACATGAGAGGATCTCAGAGATTAATAGTGATGACACTAAATGATCAGGAAAAGATGTTCTTGGGACGTGCATCTGTGTCTTCGTACAGGGTTAAATTATTCCTTGCTATTTGTGTACTCAATATGTCTGGAATAGACAACTCTCTTGTTTAAGGTGTTTGACAACCTCTTCTTGGATTTGACACACTAGTTTAAGGTGTTGAGGTTTGTCATTGATCCATGCATTAGGAACTTTTTTTGGTGGTGGCAGCATCAAATGCATGCATTTGTGCAGAACTGAACATCAGATTGATGCATAATCAGTAGTAAAATCACTGTTAATGAGAATTACAATCCCTGTAAACTTTGAAGTAATGCTTGTTTCTAGTGCATGCCCTCATATTGCTTTCAGATGCCTCCTATTACTTTCTTGATGTCCTAACTGAAAAGAAATCTATTGCTATTGTGGTTTTTACTCAAATTCTTATTTTGTTGTTGTTCTGGTTTTACTAGGGAAAACTGAAGCTGAATCTTCCACAGCTTGATTATATGATTAGGCATCAGTGATTCGAAGTCTGGAATTGTCACATTTTGTTATGAAACATATTTTAGCTAGAAGTCAACAGGATAAAAATGAATTTACAGGCTCAAATGTCAGGACAGTTCTCAAGGCAGGTTTCCAGTCAAGCTGGGACTTCATTGCCTGCCATACCACAGCAGCAGAATATGATGCAGAACTCTGAAGGTCCCCATGCTCCACTCAATATGGAGCCTGGTTTTGTGAAGACAAGGCGATTTATACAAGATAGGATGTAAGCTCATTCTTTTCACAATATTTATATGGCAAGGGTGCTTTGTGGGCACGTGTTTGTGTGTGTGTGTGTGTGTGTTGCAAATGCGTGTGCTAGCTTGATGTGTTTGAACATTTTCTTGGTTGGACCTCTGGGGACTGAATGGAGGGTTGTGCATACATTTTTCTTACTATTTAACAATCACATGGCTGTGTTGGATGCATATTTAATGCAATTTGGTTATGTAAAATCACACTTCACTGATCCGCTCTACAACAAATCAAAATGTTGTCCAGATAGATATATAATCTAAAGTGCTACAGTAGTGTTTGATGTAGTTATTTGAAGTGTTGAGAACTGCCAATAGGATTTAATTAGTATTTCTGTCCATTATGTTTTGCTGAATATGATTTAGTTTATTTACTTGCTTTCGTCTCACAAGACCATGTTGCACATTTTATGCTGATGGCATTTCTCAGTAAGATTATCTGTTCCATTTATAATGTGTTCATGTTATTGGTCCCAAGTACAATCRCAGGAGATATAACTTTCCACTAAATGCTACAAATATTTTATATCTATCTTATTTATGTTGTTGCAGAATTAAAGACAATAATTTGTTGTGTCTATTTTGGTGAGAGGGGCGGTGATAAGTTTTTAGGAAGTCGGAGAAAAAAAACAAGCAATGAAAATCTATGATACTTGTCTTCTCTAAGAAATAGGTGCCGTTACCAATACTGAGATTCTATACTAGAAATAGGATAAGTTTTTGCTTTTGCTCTCCCAAGTCCCAAGATACATTTCTCAGAGAAGACATAGTACCTAGTTATAGATCATTATACCTCCATTCCTAGCATGTGCATTGTGGTACATTGAGTGTTGGAGCACCCTTGAGACACCTCAAAAATTTGAGATACATCCTAATGACTCGTACAAGGGGAAGACAACTTAACAAAGTCATTATGAAAACTCAGATGGGCTTTATCTTTGACAAGCTGGGGATGGCATATATCTATGATCCAACCAAAGGATGAGTGTTTTTCTACTTATGCTTCTACAGTTGTAGTGTTGTGTATGGCCATGTACGTAACTAACAATTTAATATATTTAATTATTACTTTTGCATGCATGTATTGCTGCCTAAGATACCTAACTTCAAATCTAAAAAGCTTAATCATGATATAATTTACTTTAAGAACTCTAGGCATGATCGATCATTTTAATGTCTCTTCTGACTTATGCTGGTTTTGTTATCTATCATACATGCACATAGATCCTGTCTTATCACAAAATCTTGATTGTGGCCTTTTGATACTGTTTGTTTTCATGTTTTCCCATTCATATTATTTTCCTTGCGCACTACTTTTATTCTTCTAATTTTCAATTTTTTTGATTCGTCATCGTCTGACAGTTCTGACCAATTATCGGTAACGTGCTTCATGAATTAAGTTACACCATGACTGATGCTTCATATGCATTAGATGCTGATGACAAATTAATTTTCTTTTCTCTAGCTATGAGTCCCTCATGCAGCGACAACAAACTCGGGAGATAGCTCCAAAAAATGTGCTGGATATTGTTAGACGCTTGGAGGAAGGCTTGTTCAAAACCGCTACAACGAAGGTTTTGCTTTGACTTATATGTGTTCCCTTGCTGCATTCATATCCTATTGATTAAATGAATATTAATTTGTATCTCTGCAGTTCACTTGATAGTTGGAGGCTTTGCCTTCTTGCTTTTGCAGAATTGTAAAAGACTACCTATTGCTCATCTCTTTGGCATCAATATAATCATATAAAAGAAACATGTGCTGCTAAATCATATCCTTGGGCTTGCTTTTGAACATATTAAAGAGATTTTTACTTTGCAGTAAGGATCATCAACACTCAATCCGAAAAGGGTAATAAGTAATTTTCAAGTGATTAAATGATGATACTTAAAGATGGAATTCAAGGTGGTTAACTGAAAAAAATAATAATATAATTACTAAGGAGGGTTCACTACATCCTTCCCATAGATCATGAGCTACCAAAACATTATTGACCTGCAACTGTAACTAAGGGTAAGTTATCAACATTGATTTTTAGATTTGACTACAGAACTTGAAAACTCCATTGGTGGAACATGAAAGAAAGAAGAAAAACAAAAGAAATTTTGTTTGTCTAATTATAGTAGAGAGTCCAAATTCAACGTCTTCTAGTGGTGGCATCCTTAGTTACAGTCTTTACTGTACCTATGGGGCTCATTGTTGTAGCTTTACCAGGCTGTGTATTAAATTCATGGTAGATAGGCTCTTTAACCACTTCATAATGTAAAAGCAGAATGGATTTATCAATCTGACATTATACACATATATTTCTTTTCTGATTAGGAGGAGTACATGAATTTAGAGACACTGGAAACTCGGTTGCAAGTTCTCATCAGACGCCTCCCCTTGAACAATCAGAATCAACGATACCAGCAACAAAGTAATAGTTCTGTTGCTATCGGAACAATGATACCAACTCCTGGTGTACCTCAAAGTGGGAACTCAAATTTAATGGTTCCATCATCTAGGGATAGCTCCTTGATTGGTCCTGGCGGTGGTAACAGCATGGTGTCATCAGCTGTGAATGCAGGAAGCTTTTCATTGAATACCACTGGGCCATCCAGGGGCATGCTCAGTGGTTCATTTGGTTCCGAAGGTATTTATCTCTTAGTTGTTGCAAATTTTTTTATATCATCAACTTTTCATTGCTGCCATACACCTGGATTCACTTTTTCAGGAGGTTTAACAGATGGAGGTCAACAGTCGCTGTCCAATTTCTCTGTAAGTTCAGGTGGAAACAGTTTAATTTCATCAACGGGTGCACAAAGAATGGCCAGCCAAATGATGCCCACTCCTGGATACAATAATACTAATAGCACAAGTAACCAGTCATACATGAAAATGGAATCATCAAGTAATGTTTCTGTGCTTTCGAGTGTTGACTCAATAATGGTGTCTCAGCCACTGCAACAGAAGCAACAAGTTGGTGGTCAAAACAGCCGCATCTTGCATAGCCTGGGAAGCCATATGGGTGGGGGGATCAGGTCTACTTTGAATCAAAATGCTTATGGGTTTCCAAATGGGTCGCTAAATGGGAATTTAGGGATGATGGGTAAAAGTTCACAGCCGATTAATAGTTTAGGGACCTCTGAGGGATTTCTGAGAGATACTCGTTATGGAAACTCTGCCAAACCAGTGCCACAATATTTTGATCAACATCAAGGACAGATGTCTCAGGGTACCCTTTCTCCACATATACATATGTGTCCACTTTTATTTATAAGTCTATTTTACTGATCCTATAATGAATTAGATGTACCTTAAATTCCTTAAAAGTAATTTTTCTTATGTCCATATGATAAATGTTGCAGGTGATGGATATGGGAGTGGTACTGCTGACTCTGGCAGATCTGGAAATTTCTATACCCCCACAACCTCAGCTACATCGCTGATGAACATAAACCCAGTAAACTTACCGGCATTACAAGGAACAAACCCTCCTTTGGTGGTTAATCATTCAAGTTTACACAACGCTGATCAGCCTGTAAACATGAAGCATTCAATAGATCAATCAGAAGAGATGGACTTCAGGTCTCAGCATTTACTACGTGAAAGTGCTGTACATTCTCAACAGCCTCTTCACTTTCAGCAACAACTCCTTCAATCTCAAAGACAACAGAAACAGCAGAATCAGCGACTGCCATATGGGCAGTCTCAGCTAATATCTGATTTGGGTGGTCGAATAAAGGCTGAACCTGGAATGGAGCGTCACAATGAGACTTTGCAGCCGCAGGCCTATGGCCATTTCCAGTCATCCCAGGCAACCAATTGCTTCCAGCAGAACTCTGGCGAAGACCATACCAGAGCTAGTCAATTGCATTCTCTTTCATCGGGCTCTCAGGATATGTGTTTATCAATGACGGAAACTTCAGAGCAGCAGCAACAGCTACTGCAACAGCCTCACTTTGGTGTTGACACTCGAAATGATCTTATGTCTTCCATAGGAATTCAACCGGAGGCAGTACTCCAGGGTCAATGGCACTCACGGTCGCAAGAAGCATCACATGAATTGGGCAACTTGTCAAACGAGCTGCGTATTCAAGAGGAATTTCGTCAAGAAAAAAGAGGGCATGATCAAGGTCAGAGGAACAATTTATCTTCAGAATCTATGAATCATCAAATGGCTGCCAAAAGATCAGTAGACCCACCAGACACTGGTGCTGTGTGTAGATCTGCTAATTCGGACCGTGGGTTGCAGTATAGGAATCAAAAGAGGTGGCTTTTGTTCTTAATTCATGCTCGTAAATGTGCTTATCCACCAGGAAATTGCCCAGAAGTCCATTGCATAACTGTTCAAAAGTTGTTGAACCATATCATGTCATGCAATGCTGTAACTCAATGTCAATATCCTCGCTGCCATAGGACGAAGACATTACTTCATCATTACAAGAACTGTAGGGATCAAAATTGTCCTGTTTGTGTTCCTGTAAAGCTTTTTGTGCAACGGAAAGGCAGCCATCGTACAAATTTGAATTCTGGTTTTCCACAGTCAGGCAATGGATCGTGTGATTATTCTGCTGAAGCTGTTCGTAGATATACTCCATCTGTAGTTGAAACTTCAGAAGATTTACATCCATCTCTGAAACGGATGAAGATTGAGCAGCCATGTCAGTCACCAGCTGCTGAAAGTGAAAACCCCATCATACCAGTTTCCATCACTAATACACCTGAAGTTCTTCAGGATGTACACCGTGGCGAACATCAAGTTGGCGATGCTTGTGTACCACTAGAATTTGAGGTCCCTGGAATGAAACTGGAAATTCCTGCACCCAAGGTCACCGAGGCAAGGAAGGATTATGTGGAAGACTGCATCCAAAATACTGATGATGTTTCAGTTGTTTCAAATGAGGCCACAGGTTTCACTAAGCAGGAGTTCCTTAAGGCCAAGAAAGAGATGGGCCAGGCTAAACAAGAAAATGCAGCAGTACCTGCTGAGACTTCTACTGGAACCAAATCTGGGAAGCCAAAAATAAAGGGAGTATCAATGACAGAATTGTTCACTCCGGAGCAGGTTCGGGAGCATATCACTGGTCTCAGACAGTGGGTTGGCCAGGTCAGAAATCTGGATATACATTTCTTTTGTCTAGGATCTTTTGTCAAATCCTCATCAAAGGGTTATTGTATCCGATTTTACCTTTTGTCATGTTTGAAATGTATGTTGGCAGCTAAGGCTTATACAAATATGCATCACAACAATTATATAGTATATTAAATGCTAGCATGCATGTCCTCTCAAATGATATAGTTTTTTTAGGTAGAAAATTAGAAGAGACCGATGTTTTGTTTATTCCATTCATGCATGTTAGAGTGTGCATTTCTTCTTATTGACAAGTTATGCTTGTAAATCTTCACTTTGCTTAATTCTTCCTATTTTTGATATCCAGTATTTGTTCTTGTGCAGAGCAAAGCGAAGGTCGAAAAGAATCAAGCTATGGAGCTCTCAATGAATGAGAATTCTTGTCAGTTATGTGCAGTTGAAAAGCTCAATTTTGAACCGCCACCTATATATTGCTCACCTTGTGGTGCTCGCATCAAGAGAAATGCAATGTTTTACACCATTGGTAGCGGTGATACGAGGCATTATTTCTGTATTCCGTGCTATAACGAGGCCCGTGGAGACACTATAACTGTCGATGGAACTAATATTTTGAAGGCAAGATTAGAGAAAAAGAAAAATGATGAGGAGACTGAAGAACCGGTATGCTATATCTGTTATAAATTTTGCTTGATGGTTGTAATAAGTATCTAATCCTTGCAGCTTTCTACAGTGGGTTCAATGTGACAAGTGTGAAGCCTGGCAACATCAAATCTGTGCGTTATTCAATGGCCGTAGAAATGATGGCGGGCAAGCAGAGTACACTTGCCCAAATTGCTACATGGAAGAGGTTGAAAAAGGAGAGAGGGTGCCTCTACCACAGAGTGCTGTTCTTGGAGCAAAAGATCTACCTCGAACCATTCTTAGTGATCACATAGAGAGCAGATTGTTTAAGAGACTGAAGCAGGAAAGACTAGATAGGGCAAGGTTCCTTGGGAAAAGTTATGATGAGGTGATCTCATAACATTTTTGCTGTTATATTCAACCTGGCTGATTTGATGCAAATTCTGAATCCTCATTTGATGTTGATTATATGTTTGAAATTTGTGCATAAAAGACTGGCTTGTTGTTCTGCTTGTTTGTTTCGTCCTTTACCTGACAGTACTAGGGTTTTATCAAAGATGCTCCATAAAATGTGTTATCAAAGAATGGGAAATGCTATGAAGCAGCTTTTAGAACCCTGACTATATGTTATCACCAGATTACTTGGTTGCATTTAATATTAACAGCTGCATGCACACACCTCTCAAATACTAGAAGTTTTTGTACGTCTCTTTTGCTGTCTTTTCCTTGTTATCTTTCCCAGAAGGTTTCATGGGTCATTGTTATGTCTCTTCTCTCTATATGTGGGTTTGATGACTGCTCAAATTTGTGGTGGTGTAATTTTATGGAATCTTCATTAGGTACCCAGGTGACATTGTATATGGTTGTTTTTGGTGTCATTTCTCTTACTTTCTATATGCATAGGTATCACGATTGGTAGTTTGTAGAATGTTTGATTAATTTTTACGACTTTCATGTTATCAGGTTCCTGGTGCAGAATCGCTTGTTGTCAGAGTTGTCTCGTCTGTGGATAAGAAGTTGGAAGTGAAGCAACGATTCCTTGAGATCTTTCATGAGGAAAATTACCCCTCAGAATATGCATATAAATCTAAGGTATTGGAGATAGTAATATTTTTTAAATGTCAGTGTGTTCATTTAAATTGAAGTTCATAATATAGAGTAATCTTGGTTATTGGCATTATCTTCTGGTTCAACTTGAATAACTACTAAAGCTACTGTTTTTTCTTTCAGGTAGTTTTGTTGTTTCAGAAGATCGAAGGGGTAGAAGTATGTCTGTTTGGCATGTATGTTCAAGAATTTGGAGCAGAATGTCAGCAGCCAAATCATCGTCGTGTTTATCTTTCCTATTTGGATTCAGTGAAGTACTTTAGGCCTGAGATAAGAACAGTGACAGGGGAAGCTCTGCGTACATTTGTATATCATGAAATTCTGGCAAGTGACTAGATTCTTCAGCTCTTCGAGTTCAACCATGTTCACTATTCTCTACTTCCTTTTAGTCCTCCTTAACTTGTCTACTGTATTAAACGTGTTTTTTGTTATTACTTTCTCAGATTGGTTACCTAGAATATTGCAAGTTGCGTGGTTTCACAAGTTGTTATATATGGGCCTGCCCTCCATTGAAAGGTGAAGATTATATCTTGTATTGCCATCCTGAGATTCAGAAGACACCAAAGTCTGATAAACTAAGGGAATGGTGAGTGGGTGTTTATATGTGCATCAATTGACTCTTGTAATATAAGGGACCATCATACCCGGTGTATCTTTTGTGACATGGATAATTTCTGTATCAGGTATTTGTCGATGTTGAGAAAGGCCTCGAAGGAAAACATTGTAGTGGACCGCACTAATTTATACGATCATTTCTTTGTATCTTCTGGCGAATGTAAAGCTAAGGTGACTGCAGCTCGATTGCCGTATTTTGATGGAGACTATTGGCCTGGTGCTGCTGAGGACATAATCTATCAGCTTCGTCAAGAAGAGGATGGAAGAAAACATAATAAGAAAGGGTCAATTAAAAGGACCATAACAAAAAGAGCTCTAAAAGCTTCTGGTCAAACTGATCTTTCTGGGAATGCTTCAAAAGATCTGCTACTGATGCATAGGGTAATTTTCTTGTTCAATAAGTGTTCTTCTCTCTTAACCCCCACCCACACTCATCCTGATCACACTTTTCATTGTCTTGGTGTTGCCAGTGATGTTCACTAGTTTTAGTAGCCTGTGTCATTCTAATGATTATTGTTTTGGCTCATTTCTTTGGATAAAGTGGAAGTAGGAAAAGGAATCTCATTTATTAGTGCACGAGGAGTATAAAATCTACCATATTCAACTTTAGACATTTCTCGCTAGTACATATACTCCACAAAGGTGTGGCAAGGCATCCTATATCACAAACTTTTTATTTCATCTTTCCTGTTCTATAACCGCCTTCCTTTCTGAAGAAAGCAAACTCAATTGCATTTTCGAAGCTATGAAGATAGAACTTCACATATGTATGCATAATAAAATGGAGAACATATTTACCTTTTGGAAGGGAAATTATCTTGGAAGATCCCAAATAAATAGGTGGACCATACAACACTAATACTCAACCTTCTATTCCAAGCTAGTCTGCATAAGCTAGAAATAGAACCTGTAAGATTGTGGCGTAGTGGTTGAGGCCCTGGGAGATGTGGAATATTCCATCTGCCCAGGGTTCTACTCCAGGCGTACACAACAATTGTGGCCACTGAGTTTATCAGGGCTGATTTCTTGAAGCCGCAAATTGCCAGGATTAGTCCAGGCATAGCCGGGGACACTCTTCCAAAACAGAAGAATTTAGTACAGGTTGTACAATGGCTGCATGGCTCAGGTTGGATTGGATAAAGGGTTAAATGTGCAAGTCAAATGGGTACTTCTTTTAGAATGTCTCAAAATGAGTCACTTGTCAAATGAGTTGGGTTGGGTCAGATTTACCTAGTGGTTCCCACCACCTCCTTTTCTTTTTCTTTTCTTTTTTTCATTTCTTCTCTATGTATTTGTATGCAAACGTAAGAAAATAATTTAGCTAATATTAAAGTAGCAAACATATTAAATGACTAAACTAACTTTCACAAAGAACAACAAATATATATTGCATCATATATCAACATGATTATTTAATTATCGAAAAGAAAACTGATAATTGTACTAATGTTCTAAGAATTATGTTCAAAACATTTTGAACCAAAAATTAAAATGCTTGTGTAAATTATTAACTCAAGATTATTAGATTTGACTTTCAAATAAATTGTGGATTGGAATTGATTTTCAGAAAATTTTCACCAGTCACGAAAATAGTTAACTTAAGTTATAAGTTATAACAATGATGGTATAATAAAATACTTATTACCAATTGACGCCCATAGTTTTATTCATCTTGCTCGGTTAGTTAGCATGTTATTTCTTTGATTACTCATATAACCCATCCTTATGCCTATTTGATCCATCTTTATTGGTGTGCTGCATCAGTTTCTTTCTGATAGATGCTGTCCCTACTTTCTCTTAAAATATCTTCATTTTTAGTCCTATCTCTCATCATCTGTCCACACTTAGTACACAGTTCTACAATTTTTTTGGTGGCCCACATTCAGTGCTATAAATCATTGCAGGCGGTACTGCCCTCCTATACAACTTACTTTTCAGTTTTACAGGCTTTTAGTCTCATAGGAGTTAAGAAACATGAGGATTGCTGGCAATGAGTCCATCACCTTGTCGTATGCCCAAAAGACTAATGAAGATCTTGTCTACTGACCCTAGAAAAATTAGGAATGGAGGGAGTAGTCTTCTGTATTGTTTTTGTTCTGGGACGTGTTAGATTTGGTATATTGTTGGTCTCCTTTCCCTACTTTTCCCTGATGATCGTAACTATGAGCATGACTTTATCAATCTTCATCTACATCTTATTTTTCCTTACATGGTTTCTTCGTGTTCCTTTTGATATTTTTACAGCTTGGTGAAACAATATCTCCAATGAAGGAAGATTTCATTATGGTTCACTTGCAGCATGCTTGCACTCACTGCTGTACCCTAATGGTCTCCGGAACACGCTGGGTTTGCAAGCAGTGCAAAAATTTTCAGCTTTGCAATAGGTAAGCTCTAGATGTCATAGGCTCTTACCTTGTTATCAATTTTGCTGGCTGATTTCAGTTCCTAGTATGTGTAGTGTAACAACAATTATCCTGTATGTTTTTTTGCTGATGATACCTCTATGTTTCTATCAATGTTATTTGTGATTGATCAATCATATGGCCTGGGCAAAAGGACCAGGGTGGGGGGTAGGAGAGGCTGCGCAGAGAACATGTTCCATGCATGGAAACATCATGTTTTTGTTTTATTCATACCGTCATGCTTTAACCAGCTGCACGTTAAGATGGAAAACCTCTTTTTGTGATTGATTTTGCTGAATGGTAGGATTAGAAACTTGGTTAATAAAATATAAAATGAGATACCAAACTGAGCTACTTTTGCATTATAATATTCAAATATATGTTTAAATTTATCATATGCATATTCAGGCGCATATGACAGATTAAATAGGATTTCTTTTCTTTTTTAAATTGGACATAGTCATAAACTAATGCTGTCCCTATATGACCAACGGTGGTTATTTAACTCGGCCTGTGTTTTCTAATATTTAAACCTGCACATATATGCCCCCTTTTAGCATATCTGTTCCCCCAAACAACCAATTTGGGATATACTAAGCTTTCTTGGTTCGGTTTATACATGCCCCTCTTTTATATTATATGTAACGTTAGTGGTTGTGGATATGTATTGTAGGTGTCATGAAGTTGAACAAAATATAGAGGAGAGAGAGAGACATCCTATTAACCAAAGGGTGAAACATCAACTTTATCCTGTAAGTTGCTCCCTTCTTGGGCTGTTAGTTTGCGTAATGGAAACTATTATTTGTGACTTTATTTTGTTTTTATACCACTCTTGATCGAGATTTGAAATGTATGCAGGTCGAAATCACTGATGTGCCTACAGACACCAAAGATAAGGATGAGATTCTTGAGAGCGAATTCTTTGATACCAGACAGGCTTTTCTCAGCCTTTGCCAAGGAAATCATTATCAATACGACACCCTACGACGTGCTAAACATTCCTCAATGATGGCGTTGTATCATCTTCACAATCCTACCGCTCCTGCATTTGTGATAACATGCTTTGTATGCCGTCTTGATATAGAAACCGGACAAGGATGGCGGTGTGACATTTGCCCTGATTATGATGTGTGCAATGCATGCTATCGAAAGGATAGAGGAATGGATCATCCGCATAAGTTGACGCATCATCCGTCAATTGCAGAGCGTGATGCACAAAACAAAGAAGCTCGACAACTACGCGTCGTACAGGTATTTTTATTTTTATTTTTTAGCAATTCCATCAACAAGGCCTTTGAATCAGATTACATGGCATCATACATAAAACTGTCAAGATATTTAAATAACATGGTAAAAATGGTTGCAGCTTCGGAAAATGCTTGATCTTCTGGTACATGCATCACAATGTCGTGCACAGCTATGCCAGTATCCTAATTGTCGTAAGGTTAAGGGGCTTTTCCGACATGGAATGCATTGCAAAGTACGTGCATCGGGTGGTTGTGTCCTTTGCAAGAAAATGTGGCATCTCCTTCAGCTTCATGCTAGAGCATGTAAAGACACTCCATGCAATGTCCCGCGCTGCAGGTATTTATCATGTACATTCATTATGAATATTTGGTTTCTCGGTTCTCTACGGCTCCGAAATGAACATCTCCCCTTTCAAGTATTTGTTGTTAGCGGTAGGCCAAAAAAATGAAATAAACTTGAATTGAAAAGTTACCGAAAAAGTAAAAAGGAAAGATGACTCTACGGCTGAAACGCCATCTATTAGTACTCGATCATTTAATAATCTCTCTTAGATATATTTTTGGTTGGTCCGGACTATAAGGGATAACGTGCCCGATTAAATAATTCGCTAATATTATTAAGATAATACATTTTTGATTACTCATATAGACCCAATGTAAAATATAACTTAATAATTTATTGTATATTACATAATACATGAATCTTTTGGTTTTTGATTGAAATCAATGTCTCACCTTGGTTCTCATTTCTTTTTTTCTCTTACATTGAACAATGGATCATACTGTAAGAAATAAAGTGGGAGGGAGATTGAAGGGTGCTTTGTAAATAAATAATTACTATAAATTTATCTTATAACTTAATAAATTTTGGTGGTTTTTGAGGGCATTCATAGTTTCTAGTTTTAAGTGTATTTTTTTCATCTCCTTTGAATTGAATGATTTGGTTTATACAGAGACCTTCGGGAACATTTGAGAAGGCTGACACAACAGGCGGATAGCCGGCGGAGGGCGGCTGTTATGGAGATGATGAGGCAGCGTGCTGCGGAGGTTGCGGGCGGCAGCAGTGGATGACAAAGATGATGCTGTAAATATGTACAGTTTTGGGGATGAAATTTCTAGCAGCAGCATATTTTATATATATATATATCCATGGGGCACAAGCATAATAGGCACAAACAGGCAGGCAGGAAAGAAGGTTTTAATTTACAAAATCATATGGAGAATGAATCATCAAATCAAAAAGGAGGAAGGATTCCTTTGTTTCTAGTTTTTGTGGTGATGCAAATATCATAAGATGATCTTTTTCTTTCTTTTCTTTCTTTCAATAGGGGGGCTACATCCATTTATTTTATAGTGACACATTTAATTTAGTCTATCACCTACAACTTGCTTCCATTCTCATAGGATTCCATTTCCCATCAAGTACTAAATGTTTTAAGAGCTCTTATCGGGTAAACACATGGTTAGACTTAAGTGGTGGTTTACCAAGCGCTTACCATCACTTTCATTTAGACAACATTTTATGTCTTCTAAAATTGTTGGTATAACCGGTAAGCGCTTACCATCATCCTCACTTATTGGGTTAGACTTTCGACCCTTGTCTTCACTTTTATCAGATAAGATTTTTGGTTCTTGTTATGTTTATCCGTTAAAGTAATTGAATTGGTAAGCGTAAGTATTTAGTAAACTACCTTTTAGGCATAAACTTGTCCAGTAAGTGAGCATATGATAATATTGATTACCCATGCTTTCCAACCCACAATGTTGCTTAGTGAGATGTTGTCCTGATAAGCATCAAGAGTCTCCTCACTTGGTTAGTATTTACCCAGACATAACCATGATTTTCATAGCAACATACTAAGAGCAAGTGTTTGACTCAATTTGTTTTGTAAAATTCCCCTAAATCCTCGGTGGTTGTACTTGGATATGCACACTAGGCTTGAATAGGCCAAACTTTTGAGGCTGGTTAATAAAAAAACTTAACCCAGAAAAAGTTGTGTTAAGCACAACTTTCTTCGTCCCAACCCTTTGAACATTATCAAATTTGTTTATTACATATTGACATGTGAATATGAACCATGGACATACCCTTGATTTAAGAACAAGTAATAAAATCCACTCACATACATACATACATCTATCTGGACATACATTACTTGCATTACTTGCATTCATTCATGTTTGTACTTAACTTGGTTCACATGCTCATATAGTTACAAATGATGGAAATAAAATATGATTGTTGTAAAACTTAAATCGAAGATGGTAAATGATATCATAAAACACTTGTTTTTTCAGTTTTTTGCCAAGATCATGTTACAATCGCTCTACTTATACTTCTTGAATGGTAATTCCTAGAGTCATAAAGTTTTTCATATCTTTTACAGTTTTGAAAAGTAATGTCGTTGTCGGTTGGTGATAAAATAAGTTTAAAATGATTTAATTTCTCCTTGGGGCTACAAATGGTATAATTATCATTTGATTATTTGGGTAAGGGCGTCGTTGATTCATGTTGGTTTTGAGTATCCAAGTGTAATATTCGGTTTAAGTATTTTAAAAGTTTTAAATTTGTTTTGCATAATTTGGTATGTAAGTAAGAGTGAGTGTGTGTGTATTTGGTTTATGTTTAATAAAAAGTTGTTGGGGGAAGGGGAGTCGGCTGATTGCACCGCCCTCATAGTTTTCCATTTACTATATATAGTAAATGGGGTTTTAGAAAGAAAGGTTTTTACGAACTCTTTCTAAATGAGGAAGTCTCTTTAAATATATCATCCGGATTGACTAAAAAGAAAGAGGATTCAACATTAGGAATTTCGGTTTTAAGGTGAGTGTTATATGTTTTGAGTACTAATCATTTGTAAATAAGTCAATTGCTATTGAAACTTGCTTAGATTGAATTGCATTATGTATTGACCGGATATATCCTAAACCGGACGAGGGTTTTCCGGATTCTATCTAAACCGGACGAGGGTTGTCCGGATTCAACCTAAACCAGATAAGGGTTGCCTGGATTCTTCTTAAACCGGCTAAAGGTTGTTCGGTGTGGCCCTAAATCGCTCAAAGGCCATCCGGTTAAATTTGTTAAATTGCTCAACATTACTTAGATTCTATAATTGGTTTTCATATGTTAACCGAATTTCATATCCGGACAAAAGTATCCGGATTACATATCCGGATAGGGTGACCGGATTACATGTCCGGACAAAATGGTAGCATTCTATCTCTGGATAAGGTTGACCAGATTTCATATCTGGCTGGTTTGACTATTTTCCATCACTGGTTTAACTTAATTTGAATTAAATGTAATGGCGGTGTAACCGCGAAGGGAGGTGTAATGGCGGTGTAACCGCGAGGGAGCTGTAATGGCGGTGTAACCGCGAGAAAAAGAGATTCTATAATAGAATATAGATAAAGTGCATATGTTTGTACAAGTTAGCTTCTAAACTACTAGTTTGGAATAGAAGTTGTTTTGAATGCTCACTAGACCTTTTTAGGTCTAATGCTCAGTTATTGGACTAATCTGTTTTGCAGGTCATCATACAACCCAAGACAAAGGCAAGGGGAAGGTTTAAGCAACTATGTTTAGATACATTCATATGTATTAAACAAAGTTTTTGTTAGCCTATAATTTGTAAACAATATAATGTTTGGATATCAGATGTGGTTATTATGTAATACATGCTAGTCCAAATTGTGGGTTGTTACAGTTGGTATCAGAGTCTTAGTTTAAGGGATCTGGGTATTCGGCCATACTTAGATTTAAACTGGAGGTGTGGAAATTATCATAATAGGTTTCACTGGGACTATGAACATGGGAGTATGTTATAGCTGAACCTATTATGAGAAAGTTAGATTACATATGACTGATGTAATTATGAGTTATGGATAGATTTGAAGATAAATGTGTTATCAAGCTTTGATTATATGAATAATCATATATGTTTAAATGTGACAGAAAGAGGCGTACACTGAGAAATGGCAGATAATTCTAACCAATCAGAAGAACCTCTACCGGTTATGGAAGATGTCGGGGAAGAAGAAATGTAACCCAAGAAGAAGACTCGAAAAATATGATGACTATAGAAACGCGAAGTCGCAGCAGGGGTCGAGGAAAAGGAAGAAACACTAGACAAGAAACTCGTATGGAACAAGAACTATCGGCACAAGAAAGTTCAATGTCCGGCCGTGGAAGAGGGAGAGCCAGAGGAGGACATAATGTTCCTGGTTCCGGTTTTATTACCCAAGAAATGCTGGCAGCTGAGTTGGGAAAATTCCAAGAAAGTTTGGTGAATTTGTTGGGACGTTCGGCCCCAAATAATCCATAAATAATAAGGGATCTTGACCATCAGGAAGAAGTTGTAGCTAGTACACCGAGAACAGATACATCTGTGCCCCTTACTTCGTCCTTAGTTCATAAAGGTGGGGATATTAAAATGTTTCTTGCTTGTAAACCTCCTAAATTTTCTGGTGAACGTGACCCTATCAAAGCCATGTGCTGGCTTAAGGAAATTGAATTAAGTCTGCAGATCAGTAAAAGTGCAGAAGAAGACAAAGTTATGTTTGTTGTATCTCGACTGAAGTCCAGTGCTTTATACTGGTGGGAGGTTTTGTCAAGTTCAGATCCAAATATTCTGAAAACCATGTTATAGGAGGAATTTGTGATAAAGTTTAAAATGCAATATTGTCCGGAAGCGGCAGTACGAAAGTTAGAAGATGCTTTCCTTCGTCTACAACAAGGGAATATGTCAGTTCGTCAGTACAAGGAAGTCTTCATGGAACAATATTGGTTTGCTGAAGCCTACTGATGTGGCTAAATCGTATGTGTGCACACAGTGGGCATAAAATCCCCAAAGTGGCGGTGCAAGTGCACGTCGACACTAAGATCGCTTCAAGTAATAGAGTGGTATAGTACCAAGATCGTTTCCACAGGGACTAGACTTACTGAGAATCAGAGACTTTCATGAACTTCTTGAACAATGCTTCGAGTTGAGAAAATAATTGAGTTTTGATTTGTGCAAAGCGTTAAAATATGAAATAAACCTTTAATAATAAAAGATGGGTATGGGTGTAMGCTTTGCTTAAGAATATTGTAGGAACAATTTGGTCAGAAACTCATGGGATTTCTRTAAGAACTTCTATCTYTCGAAAGTGAATTCTTATATACTGTGCCCACAAAGGGCCCACAAAGCGTCCAGTTTTATCAATCTTAAACTTGCCGAATTAGCTACTAGATAAAAAGATATCTGGTTCCACTAGHCTRRARATTTATACTCACAACGTATTGTAGCATAAACTCGACTAATAT